TTCTATGACTATGTTGTTACACTGACTGTAGTCTGTAATTAAAAAAGCTTCAGATTGTATATCCCGCCCGCTTGATCACACAAGCTTTCGCGTAAAAGTTTTATTGTTGACAAAAAATGTATAATTATTATTTTTACAAAAAGCTCTGGATATTAATACCGAACAGACGCCGGTTAAATTTCACAGCACATATAGCTCCGTTTTCTCATATATCTTTCGACATTTGTATATTTGGTGCATACTTGCATATATTTTTCAATGAAACATAAAACGTTGCCACACTGTCACTATAATGAATATTTAATAGTGAAAACAAACCGCATGCAATTTGACAAATTCAAAACTGGCAAAGTCAAACACGCAATTCAGAAATGTTAATTAACAAAGTCAAATGCGCGCAATATTACGAAATAATGAAGTGTGAAATATAATGAAATTTTCATATTTTCTCTACTTTTTTCTTTTGAGTTGATGAGAGTTGGCAGTCACGAATTGTTACAGACGATTAACCCCCACAGCCGGCAAATTGTCAGTCGTAGTCGGCAAAACATGACTGGATAGGACTGGAACAGATTATTGAAAAAGAAATATTTGAGTGTGCTAATTAACCCAAAACAAGTTAAGGCCAGTTAAAAAATAGAATGTCCGGAAATAATGTTTATGGTTAGCCGCCAAACCCCCTCCCCCCATTCAAAAAGGACTAGCGCCGGCTCTGGCCTGACGGAAGAAGTTATTTCGCTGACCTCAGAGTGACATTTCATCAAAACATTTTTCTTCAAGATTGGTTTAGAAACTTGGAGTAGAGTTAGGTCAGGTTAGGGTGGGGTTAGTGTTAGTAAAACCGTTGCTTTGTTATGTTTTGTCGCTCTGAGGCCAGCGAAATAACCTCTACCTCTGGTCACAGGGGACATTTCAAGCTCTAGATTAACAAAATAAAAGTTTGATGAGTGTTGCAACTATAATCTATATAAAGTTTCTGAAACGTTCTCTGATCGTAAATTTTTTATTTGAAACACAAGCTTTCGACTGCCAGTCTGCAATCTTCGACAGGTAGAAGAGAACGTTTCAGAAAACGTTTCAGAAACTATCAGAGAACGTTTCAGAAACTTTATTATGAATCCTGGTCGCGCATCTAGCATTTTTAATATAATCTATATGTTTCGACTTAACTGAATACATGACAGTGTTGGGAAAACATTCAGAACCAGGCGGGAATCGTAACCTAATGATAAATATCAATGCCCACCATTTCATGTCCGTAAAATTATTTATAGCCATAACAAAATGAATTTTTATAAAGTTTAACTTAAGGACTATAAACCTTTTCACTTGTCTTCAGAGTTAATAGCGAAGCAAGCGACGTTCTTGTCACGGACGTCAGATTGCCGAGGGGGGGGGGGACTGAATTAAAAACTGTGTTTGTGTCAGTTTGTAATCTTCAACACATTATAACGTCAGTTTATAATCTTCAGCACATATGACAAAACATAAGACTTTTAATTTATTTTTTTCCTTACGCGAGCGCTATGCCTATGATGCAAAAGGCCGCCCAAAACTAGTTATGCCAATTTTGGGGTGACGTATGGACGTCAAAACGGTTGACAAAAGCTCACTACTCTAGACTCTAATAGTAAAGGAGGATATTAAAAAGCTACACATATCATATGAATAAATTACAACTAAGTTACATTGCAAGAATTATATACAAATATAAGCTAAGGATTATAAAACGATTATACTTGTAATTCAATATATATGTACACACAAATTTATTTTTGCACGTTAGCCCCAACAACAAGTAGTTGATTTCCATGGGGATTGGGGACGTGCGGACATACAGTCAGAATAAAAATACAAATAACACATATAAGTAGATAAGAATATAGAGAAACTATTTACTATTTCTTTTATCAGTTTTTTGAAATAATTTAAAGTATCAATTGGCCTTTTTCACATGAACGGGTAAATTATTCCTGTAACTTCTGGTCGAATTTAACGGTTTCCCAGGTGTTTTATGAATTATGGCACTTCGAATCATGGGCGTACCGGAAGGAAAAAATTAGGGGGGGCGGAAAGAAATTTGCCCGACTTTCCCGGATTGTGCCCGACCAGTACCGAAATTTTTTTCCGGAATTGAATTTGGCGACCTCCCC